ATAATTGTAATTTTGCTACTGCCACGAATCACAATGTAAATATCCGTGTTTCCTGATGGTCTTAGGTGACCCCATGAAAGACCCCCAAAGAGGTCTCGACCCACAGGTTGAGAACCACTACATTAGCAGACTTCTAATGTGGTGGTCCTTCCAAAGCTGGCCTTACCTTATACGAACAGTACCCCCAAAGCAGCAGACACTTTCCTAAACAACTCCCGCAAATGCTGCTAGAACCGGAACAGCTTTAGCACCTGTGGTCATCATGGTTTGTCCCAAGCCGCCAGTGCTGATCGCAGACTGTATGCAGGGGTGTCCAGTGTTTGGATACATGGCGGCCCAGGGATAATGGTTCCCATGGACAACACACTGGCTCCTCAAGTGTAACATGAGGCCAAAACAGATTGTCCTTTCCTGTCTAATGAGGATTAGTGGAGCTGTGGATGGGGGAGGAGCATCCTAGGAGGCAGACCTTCAGCTGTCTGGTTGGAGCATCCTAGGAGGCAGACCTTCATCTGTCTGGTTGGAGCATCCTAGGAGGCAGACCTTCAGCTGTCTGGTTGGAGCATCCTAGGAGGCAAACCTTCAGCTGTCTGGTTGGAGAAGCAGGAACATGCAGCTTCATATTGAGCTTCCCAAGTTCCCAGAGCCAGGAGACACTGACAGAATTTGGATTCCTTCAGTCTTCAGAGACAGGTGCCCAATTTGAACTGGCCAGGGAAAAGAATGTTTTCACTGGTTTGGGTTACTGAAAAGTCTGGGATTTGGATCTGGCAGCAGAAGATATGGTCTCTCCTCCATACCTCAGGACCATTTTCCTATGCTGGCTTCACATCCCACCAGCTTTGCAGCATCAGGAATGGGGAAAGGACCTGTTTTCTCCACCAAAGTATCAGGACTACAAACTGCGCATGGTGGAGGCTCACATCTGTAATCCCAGCACGTGGAAGGCTGGAGGTAGTACTGCTTCACGTTTGAGGTCAGCCGGGGCTAATAATGAGACTCTGTCTTCAAAAACAAGACAAGCGCATTTGGGGAATATTGCCCCATAGGAAAAAGTGCTCGCAATGAATGTGTGAGGACCTGAGTCTGGATTGCTAGCACCCGTGTGCCAAGATGAAGATGTTAGCACACATCTATATCACCAGCACTAGGGAAACAAAGGGTCCTGGGGCTCACTGGCCACAAGCCTGGCCGAATTAGTGAGTTCCAGTTTCAGGGAGAGACTCTGCCTCAAAAAATAAAGTGGAGAATGATGGAGGGAGACACACAATATTAACCATGCCTAAACACACACACACGCACACACACACACACACACACACACACACACACACCTACGCATACTCATACTCTCTGCACATGAAGTCCCAGGGCTGATTCTTTATTGAATAAATCCGTCCCTGGAGTTGGTTCTTGAGACTTCCCTCTGCCTTTAGGTGCAAGGTAAGATGAACCTGAACCCTAGGGTCAAACATGGGAGAGGCAAAGTTCCCGGAGTAGGTCCAGGAGTGGCCACTGGAAGAAACAGAATGATTCCGGGGCGGGCCCATCATGTATTCCAGCACAGTGGTTGGCCGAGGCAGGGTTTGAAGGGCTTGACCTGTTCTGAGATAGGCACCACTTAAGCACATCCTAGCTGAGGTCAGTGCTGGTCCATGGATCACGCTTCACAGTAAGGAGCACACTGCAGAGTAGCCGCCTCGCTCTGATCCACTTAGGCTGACGTTGGCCTGGAGGCCGTCTTTCCTTTTCCTGACTATTCCTGTCTTCCCTGTGCACCTCACACCAGCTGTCCTCTCCACGTAGAATACTTTCCCTCAAAATTCCCTCATCATCCAGGCACCATTTTTCAAGATTTTTATCTCTGCCTACCTGTGAGTAATATTTCTTCACCGAATGAAGCTAAGGTTGCAACCCTTCTTCAACCCAAGCTGTCTGTAACCGAGACTTGTGAATATCAACCCTGTCCAATTGTAAAAACACATTTAATCATTCATGAGTTGGATAAACTCTGCTATGTTCAATTGATTTGCTGACAAACCCACAGCCTGAGTTTCAACTTTTTTTTTTTTCCTCTCCAGAGGTCGAGGTTGGGACAGGGTCTTGACACCTAGCCTTGACTAGCCTGGTACTCATTATGCAGACCAGGTGGGCTTTGGATGTCTAGGGGCCCTGCTGAGTCAGTTTCTCAAGTGCTGGATTGTACGACACCACCTTCAGATTTCAAATGGCATGTCTACATTGTGTACTTAGTTTTAGGTGGTTAGAGGGCATGCAAAGAATCCTTTTTCTTGTTGGCACAGCATCCAGGAGCCGGTCTGTTCTTACTGTCAATAGTGTTTTTGTGTGTAAACAGGTATATGTTTACTCACACATAAACAGGTATGTGTGAGTACATGTATATGCCAAGGCCTGGGGTTGATGTTGATATCTTTTTCAATCCCTCACCACCTTATTCTTCTGTTTGAAGATTCATTTGTAACTGTGGATGTGTGTGTGTGTATATATGTGTATGTGTGTGTGTGTGTGTGTGTGTGTGTGTGTGTAGGTGGTGTGTGCACATGATACAGGGTTCATGGACACCAGAAACCTGGGGATCCCTCGGAGCTAAAGTCACAAGTGTGAAGTTGGTGTTTGTAAAGCACCCCACAGGGTGATGGGAATTGAACTTGGTCCTCTGGAAGAGCAGTTTACACTCTTTTTTTGTTTGTTTGTTTTACAAGACAGAGTTCCTGGAACTCACAGAGATCCACCTGCCTCTGCCTCCAGTGTGCTGGGATTAAAGGCATGTGCCACCACTGCCCGGCTGCAGTTTGTACTCTTAACCTTCCAGTCACCTCTCTAGCCCATCCACTTTACTTTCTGAGGAGAGAGTCTGTCCCTAAACCCATAGCCTGTGATTTGGCCAGACTCTCTAGCCAGCAAATACAAGTCCCAGGTGTTCTGTGTCTCCTGCACTGGGATATTTATACACTGTGATCATGTTTCTTTTTTAGGGGCGTGTGGGTTCTGGGGGATTGAATTTAAGGACCCATGTTTGTGTCAACTGTGTCTTCAATCCTGGAGGCTTGGCAATCAGCGCACCCATATCGGAAGAAATCATAAACTTTATCACCAGAAAAACTTGCATATTTAAAGCTTTGGACGAACCACCTGTGAAACCGAGGCCTTCAGCTTCCGACATTTCTCAGACTGTTAAGCTTTTCTTGGGCCTCAATGTTCTGGCCAGTCATAGTTTGGGTGTTTAACCAACGTCTTCTCTCCAAACGGTGCCCAGCTGAGGTTAGTTCACCTTCATCCGTACCATTAGTATAACACAGAAGCTGGATAGGATCATGCTCTCTGAGCATGTGTCTGAGCTATTGTGTCTATTGTCTCATGGTCATGGTAGAAGGCGAAGGAATCATACAGCATACCATAACTGACAGCAGTAAAAAAACTGAAAATAAAATTTAGGTAGGATGACTCTGCGTGAGGAGGAATATTAATCCTTCTATACACTGCAAAACATAGTATCCACTTGATCCCCAAGCCTTCAGACAGCATTTCCACCCAGGTCCTAGAAGAATTACCAATGGGCAGCTCTTGCTGGTTTTGTGTAGAATCCTATTTCCCCCTAGTAAGTTACTCTTGGCTAGATAAAGCTGCCTTCAATTATATTAATTTCTCTCCTAATTTAATTTGGCACAAAACACATCGGTTCAGGAATTTATCACGTTTCACAAGCGCAGCTTCCCCGTGGGACGCGCGGAATTGCAATCTTGTCTGCACAATTGTTCACCACGTCTGAATTGGATTCTTTGAATTCTCAAGAACTTATCCTTCAGGCGGGGTACATACACATTTGCATCCTGAGCCTGAGGTCTCCGCCTCTGCAGGAACGTGCATAAACTCAAACATCATCTGTCTCACAAAGCTGAGTCCGGAGCTCCATTGGTGGTGGTGGGGAGGGGATACGGAAGTTTTGTTTTGATCTTTCCTGGACAGCCTCTAGTCCCGCCCAGAACCTCTGGACCTGCTAATGTCACAAATCACCCAAGTGCATCTGCCTAGATCCGGAATTCTTTCCTTTCTGGGAGACCTTTTCCCAGGCTGCTGCGTTACCGCTGGCTAGGGCTTTCTGGCCACGCCCATGTCCTGGTCATATATTACTTTTCGGGTTCCGGCAGATGCCATCTGGGTAGAACCTTGGCGAGAAACTTTAAAGTTGGACTACAGTCACCCTCATATTCTCCCCTAGCCAACCCCTAAAGCCTAAGGCTTGTTGGAGACCGGCAGGAGCAGGCAGAGGGAAATCCGGAACCGAGAGCTCCAGTGTTCCCGCGGTGTGGGTCCCGGGACGGCGATCGGCCAGTGTCCACTGCCCGGTCCTGGGTCAGGCGGGAAGGCCGCGGTGCTGGGTTTGTCTGGGGCCGGCCTCGCGGGATCCTGGGGCAGCAGAGCAAGAACGACTGGCTTTCATCGGGGTTGGGCGAGCGAGTCCGGACGGGCGGTGTGAGCGTAGCCCGGTTCAGCGTCTCCCGGCTCCGGGCTCCTCCTCCCGCGGGCCGCGGCCCCGGCTGCGTCGCTCCGCCACTCCCCGC